AGATAGCCCTCGTGTAGCTTTGCGCGAAATTCAAAAACAAACAAAGTTTTTACTTTGAAGTCACCGAAAAAAAGTAAGCTTGACTGTGAATTATTCTCTCTCTTAAAATTACACATGTACGTAGTAAACTGATTTCATTTGTATATATATATAATTACCATGACATTGTTTCTATTCCATATGCAGTCAAACGAAGAATCCTTCGCTGCAACACATGCCTTTGTTGTAGTTTACTCAATAGCCGATAGACGAAGCTTTCAGGCAGCGACAAGAACACTTACATTCCTAAAATACTCTGGTACCCAGATGTCTGAAAAAGGAAAAGGCTTAACATCTAAAGCTGTTATTCTAGTTGCGAACAAAGCAGATCTCGCACGATGTAGAGTTGTTTCAAAAGAAGGTAAGTAATTTTTTCACAAACAAATGTTTAAATAAATACAAATATGTCACCAAAACTTTCCGATAAAGTCTGATTATATTAAAATTTACTTATTTATACTTTTGACATGGAAATTTCATATTTTAAACAAATTTTGACACAGCATAATGATTTTATCAAAGAAAGCAGAATAAAGAAAATATAGATGGTATTTCAGTTTACCGAAAGTTTGCTTTATTTCCGAGGTGTCTTTCGATCTATTTATCTAAACTTTAATAATAAGCATTTTGAACACGGAAACTTCTAATCATAACAAAAAAGTTTAAAATCACAAAACTGCTTTTCATATGAAAGTAGGCTATTGCAAGTAAATTATAAAGTAAAAACCGGAAGTTATCCCTTAATAGCTTTGTTACTGCGGAAATTAGGCTTCACGTATGCAGGACCAGGTTCGTGGCTTGAACGAGATCAAATCTGATCTCAGATTAAACGGGGAAGTATTCAAGTTGCGTGCTTGAAACTTTTAGTATACGTTTTAAAAACGTTCATCAATTAGCTTATTCATATGGAGTAGTTTACTGAAAGTTCAGTTTTTTTTTCATTTAGTGAACAGTGTATATATATATATATTAATCTAATTATCAAAGCTATTTATTAAGTGAGACCTTTCGTCAATTATTTTACTGTAAATGTCGAGACTCCAGTTGTCTATTACTCAGAGCTTGAACTTACGCGAATTCTCAATATTGACATTCTTCTTTTGTATTGGAAGGCAAATAGAATTGCCTGTATATTTAATGACACTATTAAAAAATTTGTATAAGTAAAGAAACAATTGGCAGTTTATATAGAGTTTGAGTTTTGATAGTAACCAAGGTGACATGTAGTTTTGATAGTAACCAAGGTGGCATGTATTTTATAAAGAAAAGTGCGAGCAATTGTTTAACTTTTATGATGACGTGATTAACACACGATAACGCTGTTGCATCTATTTCACTTAGATGGTGACGTCAACTGTTGCATCTATTTCACTTAGATGGTGACGTCAACTGTTGCTTAAATAAGAACTAACACTTTTTCGTTTATGTGTCACTGCTATGATATTTATTTTCATGCTTTGAAATAATTCGAATCATGACATTTAAATAAAAAAAATCGTAGTTAACACCATTTTTTTTTTTCATTTCAACAGAAGGTCGCAGTTAAAATAATTGTTTTTTTTTTTTCATTTCAACAGAAGGTCGTTGTTTGGCAAGTAAGCTCGACACGAAGTTCGTCGAGACCTCCACTGCAGTAAACTATAACGTCGACGAATTGTTAGTGGGCATCGTAAAGCAAATTCGTCTGAGACTCAGAATAAACAGTGACTCTAGTGATGCCTGCAGGTCAAAAATGGCGAATGGAAAAGCTCGAGGACTGATGAGTAAATTACTTCACATATGTGAATCGAAAATTAAATCATGTGATAACCTGAACATTATTTAAAGCAGACCTTGGATCTCATTTAAACAATAAAAGTTTATATTATGAAATTGTTGTCTAACTGCACTTTCAGGTAATTCATATCAATCACAGTGAGGCAAAGCTGGCTGATATTTCACTAACAGTGAAGCTTTGATTTGATTAATCATTTAATGACACAATAACGGCCAGTAAATTTAGCTTTGGGAATGTTTGTTTCATACATGGTGATATTTTTGTTCGAATACCAGGGCGTGAAACAAGTCCCGAAAGTAAACTAAATTGTTTCTTCAATTTTTAAAAATGATGGTTAAGATACCACAGAAATTGAAAATGTATTTCTAAATCTTCCATTTACACTTGTTGTTTCACTCTTACGCAAGCTAGAAGTATAGACCATTATAACAGCTTCTGGTTAACATGAACCAGCCAAGGCAACTTTTTTTCTGGTGATAAAAGTACCAGTAGTAATGCGAAGAAGAAAACAAAATGGCACCGATAATAATAATAGCACTGATATAAGTGGCTTCAGTGATATTGAAAAATGGAATATATATTACATAAAGATTATAAACGTACAATTTTCCCGTGTTTTTTATTTTGGGAATAAGTGGTGCCATTTTTTCCACTTAGAATTATTTCTGATACCATTATTATCACCGGAAACATTTTTCCTGAATTAATATTTTATACATCTTACGAAATGTTTTGAAATATTATAAAGCCTTTATATAAGATCTATGAATTTATTTATTATTTATGTATATATATATTTTGTTTGTAGAGCATACTGTTTTAATCCCTTGTATAACAGTGCTATAACTGAGTGTTTTTGAAAACACTGTATGTGTATTAAATGTGGTTAACGAGAGGTATTTAATGAATGTTTATTATCGGGTGCCGTTTTCAATGTATCACACTTTATTTAAAGAACAGTTGTGGTATTTCTAAACTTTTATATGCTTTTACTTTTAACTTTAAGTAACTGTTGTAAATAAAATTGTTTAAATTTATTTGTTTATACGTTGTACATATACATATGTGTGTGTGGCAGTATGTTAAATCAATACTATTGTGTCACTTCAGCCTGTGCTCGTGGAGTTGTGGAAAAACTTCAATTTGTAAAATATATGTTTTTATTAAAATGAGGTTTCTAAAGTACTGTTTATTTAGCTCATTCGACACAATCATAACAACATCTCGTAGCACAAAATACACATATGAAGAAAGACTTCCCTGTCTTAGTTTTTATCTGTTTGTATCATATTTTTCATGTTATATATATATATATAACGATTTATTGTTTTTTTAATGTTATGTATCACGATGTTTGTTTTTGTAATATTATTCTTTCACACAAAACTAGAAATCAGTACATATATTGAGTATTATTCAATAAATAAATACAATGTAGTTGCTGATATTCATGTTTTATATAGAAAGGTAAAACAACAAAATGGGAATTCTCTGTTACTATATTTGCATTGTTATGAATACATAAAAAGAGAGTTACGTTTTATATGAAACTTTGTATATGCTAATATAGTGGAGCGTCAGCCGTATATTAAAGCTTTAGGGGACATAGCTGCGATATTTCTAAAAATAAAACATGTATTTAATAATCCAACTGATATAACGTAATATGTAAACATCCACTTTAAGCTCGACATTTATTTAGTTTAAAACATAGTAGATGAGCTTCCTATGGTATTAAGATTTCTGGTGAACAGTGTTAGAAATACTAACATTCTCTTTCACGATTACTCACTGTTCTTGAGATAAAAAAAAGATCCTCTTACACTATAGATTAGCCAATTGACTGTCACTTTGCTTAAAGATTCACAGTTATAGATCTAATTAAGTCTACAAGCACTAGTCGTTTGTTTCAATTTTGGTTTCAACGTGTTTATTGGTAGAGTATATTTGAATACCAGCTTTGTTCAGTCTTCACTGATACAATTGTCCGTCACATTCTGTAATAACACTGTGCATGATGCTGGATCTATCTTTATTTATTTGTTCCAATGATCTATAATATGCGCGTGAAGACATCGAACTATAGATCCGATGTAGAGACGTAACAAGAATATTTACGTAGACAATAGATTCATCAAGTTTAACAAGGAAATATTTCAATAAATTAGACCTATAGGTTCAATTGTCGGGGTTTTATATGGACTATCTAAAATTCAATCTGCTAAGACCTACTGTATCAAACATTGGGTGTTACAGTGAAAACTGTCCAAATATCCAAGTAACATACTAAAAGAACAAGCTAAAAACAAATTTATTATACAATAAAGTTTTAAGGTTTTAAAGAAAACCAGAACCTTAAAATGTGATAAATATGTGTATTTGGTTAGGTTTGATGTTACATCATAAAGAAAATCATATTTTCTAAGGTTGCCTTAAATAAAACTACTAACATTTGTTCGGATTTATTCTACAATGATAAATATAACTATAACATGCCCAGAAATTAAAGGAAATAGCAACAAATAAATCATGCTTTAATGTTAACATTGTCCCTATAGCGCAGTGGACAGTGCGTTGGATTTCTAATCCAAAAGTACCGGGTTCGCTCCCCGCCAGGGATGCCTCCAACATTGCCTGTTGGAATGAGAAATGAGGGCGCGGGGCTAGCAACTCCACCCCGTAAAAACGAACTTGCTAAAAAATTACTGCAACAACAACAACTTCCGTCGGTGACGTGTTGTTGGGGTCCTATGCTCCTGTGGGGGTCTACAGTGAATATTAACAAGTAAATGTTTCAGCAGAAGGCCGAGTGCAAGTTTGGAACTTATAATGGATAATATGTTTTTATGTACCACGACAAGTAAGAACGCACTGAAAATTCCCCCAACAGTTCCAAGTTTTTTTTTAAACAACAGATGTGTGAATGACATTTTTTTTAATTTTGGAAAACGCAGTACAAACAACAAAGTTTTTAAATTATCTTAACAAAAACATAAATTTACCTGGAATCTGAACAAGAGTGTATGTTGCCTTTCCTAGATACAGTTGTTAAAAATAAAAACAAAAATTACTTTAAAGTTGGTATTTATCACACAACTATTTTGTCTTTTTTATCTTTACGGGGAAAAGTTTCATTCCAATTAAATTTAGCGAAAACTTAATCAAACTTTTACCCTATAGACTTAACCAGCAACTGTTGAAGCGAGAAGTAGATAATACTAAAACGTATCTAAATTGGGAATATTTACAAAGAGGTTATGTATAATGGTTTAGCTTTTAAACAAAAAAGTGACCGATACCCCCCCCCCAAAAAAAACAAAACAAAACAAGAGGAAATATTTGTAACTATTCCATTTACGGATTTACATAGATCAAAAATTAAGAAGCAGCTAGGAAATTAGGAAAGAAAAATTATCGCCATATTCAAGTTTTCATGAAGATTACAGGAATACTTTGTTTTTAAGGATAAAAACTGTGCAATTAAACACTCGAACATGATCTACCAAATCTACCAATTATAGTGTTCCGAGTGTGGAAGCAAATACTTTGGATCTACAGTTCGGCGACTTCACAACGGTATTGAAGAGAATATAGATCCAGCTTGTTGTACTTATGTTATGACGAACCAGTGAAACAAATATAGATCCAGCTTGTTGTACTTATTGTAGAATGTGACGAACCAGTGAAACAAATATAGATCCAGCTTGTTGTAGAATGTGACGAACCAGTGAAACAAATACAGATCCAGCTTGATGTATTTATTGTAGAATGTGACGAACCAGTGAAACGAGAAACGTTCAAAATGGTAGGAACTACTTATACAGAAATAACATTCTTCTGAATTAAAGATTGTCCACAAAGAACATGGTTATTGTGAAGTGCTTACACAGCAAGATCATTTTTGTGAATTAATAAGTGTTCATAAAAAAACACTGAAATGCTTGTATGGCAATCTATTTAGTTAATCTAAATAGAATACTTACTACAACTAGCGATTCAAACCATTCCGGTTTAGCTTCGAACAGAACCAAAATTTTCGACTTCTGTTCCGAAAGTTCTGAACGCCTTATTTCGTTCCGTTTCGCTTCGAACAAAATATAACAGCGGTTAATTATTTTCTAGTACTGTATTGGTGCTCATATGTGTTCATTTTCTCGAATAACTTTGCACAGAGAGCATGAAATACAATAAACTCCAGATAACTCGTCACTTCAATGGAAATCACTATGACGTCATCTATCTGTATCAATAAAATCACTTACTTCCTGCCTATAGAAAGGACAATGCCCATGTTGCACCCTTTAACGAAAATTACCGCATTTTGTTTTGCCACAGTTCTAAGTTATGATTTTAAAAAACGAAAATTTTCAACATCCTCAGTGAAAACGTTATGCAGAAGACAACGCTCTCCAAATAATTAATTACGTGTAAACAATCTATATTATCACTGTCAGGTATTCAACAAATGTATAGCGTTCACACATTACACTTTTCTATATTATTTGACAACGAGTTCGTGACCTACATTCTTAAATTAAAAACGTATAACTCAAGACTAGTTACCAATCACTTTTTGCTCACCTTAGAATTAATACCTACGAATTGCAAATACAACATAACAGCAGAAAAAAACAAAAAACAACAACAACTGAATTAGGTATAGATATACAGTATCAAGACTTCTCATTCCAACTTATTCTTCATTGCACCATTACTTCCCAGGCATCAATTAACAGTTTAATTTAAACAAGTTCTACAACAGAAAAGAATATAGCTTAAGACACATTAACAAAGTATCAAATTACACAGTACACAAGAAGCTCGAGTGCATAACACGCGAAGAAAATTTCTTATTTAATGTTTTTCATTAAATTTTTCCTATCTAACCTAGTAATTTTTAATTTTTACACTTTAGTTACTTTTGTTTGAAAAATACGCATCAATAAATAAAAATATATACTGTTGTAATTTGTTAATTAGAGGGAGCTGCGGGTCTTAATTCTGCGTAGAAAATTCTAAGTTGAAGTCAAGTTTTTCTCATACATTCGAACCTAGATTATAATACGAGATAGTTGTGAAGTGTGTAGAGTTATTTCAAGATAAAGAGTTGTTTTCGTGATGTATTTGGGTCTATGTTTGCTATCATGTTTAACGGGCTTCTTTGTGCAAGTTAGTTGATTTCTAGTTAGTCCTAGTATTGTTAGAGAGGTTTGAACGTTATTTGTAATGTAGGCCTATAAGAAGTTACGACATTCTACAAGTGTTCAAGATTGTTGAAACGTTAAGGGAAGAAATTAAAAAAATGTCCTCGTCATGTGGACTGAATGTTGAATTATTTTCACTAGCTAATTTAAAAGCATCCACAAATGAAAGAACTACCTTATAAAAACTTACAAAAAACAAAAAAAATACTATTTACTTTAGGCGTTGAGACCATTTTGTACTCGAGTGACTTTTTGTCAGCAAAAACACTGTAGAATATTTTACACCACTGAAATAAAGACAGAATAAGTAAAACAGTATAGAAAAAACAAGAACATTGTGGAGTGTTTTCTACACTACTGAGGTAAAGACTCATAACTAATACAATAAACAAAGTGTAGAAAACTAAGCAAACCTATCGAGAAGCGTTTTACGTCATTCAAGTAAAGACTTGATCAGAACTAATACTCAGAACATATTAGGTCTTCAAGAAATTAATGTCGCTTTTTTAGATGAAAAAACCCGAACAACTTGTATATCAAAACAAAACATTTATTAAATAAAATAGTCTCCATTCTTATGGATCATGCTTTTTCATCTTACAATCAGGTTGTTAATGCCTTGATTAAATAAATAAAAAAAAACATGTCG